GGGGGGGGGGGGGCATCAGACATCACTCTCTCCAACCAAAACAGTCAACCTTTAGGTTAAATGTAGAAGGCAGCTAACCTCATCTGTGCTTTGCTATATGGGGAGTCCCAAACCCAGAACAAATCTGCGTATCTTGGCTATAGACACCAGTATACACATGCTTGCTCCACGTCACACCTCATCAAGTAGAGAAGGAAAATTCAGAAATTACTCCTCTGGGGCCTGCACCTTTAAAGCCAAGTCATCCCATTTTGAGGACTCAAAAGGTTCCTCTTAATATCCAGAAAGCTTGCAGTTTATTGCTTGGTTACAATGTATAGTCCCCAGCACACTTATATACATTCGCTATTGTCAAATCCGATCAGATTTTAAAATCAACCTACTAGCATGTTTTGGGTTTATTGGTGAACACCCGCGCAAGCATGTAACAGACAGATTGAATCAGCAGTAATGAACAGAAAAGCACCTGGACGAATTGCGGTAATCGACGGCACGTATTTTTGTCTGCGCATGTGCAGTGTAAATCGTACGAATACGCCACCAACCTTGCAAAAATCGTACGATCGACCGAAGTTTTCTAACCTGCTGGTTAGTCAAAAGTCGATCGATTGTACAGTATTTGCGGTTGTACACTGCCCATCAACCTTACGAATATCAGAGGAAAACGCAATCGTGTACGAAAATCGGCGATATTCGTAAGGTGTATGGGTAGCTTTAGTCCAGGGCTGGACAAATGCCAAGAGACAGGTAGCCAACACTCCTTAAAAATTACAGCTGGTGCCAAACTTTTGAGGTTTTCTCTAGTTGTCAATAGAGCTGGCACCTAAAAAAATCCTGCTGGCTCTTGATCAGAGACTGGCTCCTGAATTTCATATTACTTTGTCCACCCCTGTCTTAAGCACACTGGAGGAGTAGCTGGCACATGACTGCACCAAGGAGGTGCGACATATGGAATACACAACCTCGTCTCAGGTTTTGGGGGGAAAAAAAGTCAGTTGAGCTTCCATCATTCTTAGAGGCAGAAGACGAATAGCAAATGACTGCTATCAATATGCAATAATACAATGCAGGCATTTAACCCCTTCATGACTGAGCTAGTTTTCAGGTTCTGTTCATAAATGACTAGGGGCCTTGTGGGGAATCCGGGCCTGCACTTAAACACATTTTAAGGCACTCTGTGAATGCAGGAAGGAGGAGAAATCTTGAATCAGGAAGGCTCTCAGCAGGCTGTTTTTTTTTATTCAAGTATCTTACTAGTGGAAAAAGCACTGATTTGTAAAGTGCCATATGTCACATCCCTTGCAGAAGTCAAAAGCTGACCGTCTACCTACTCAGTTCTGGTTATCATCTGTACAAAATCAGCAGAAACAGTGTACGCTAAGTCAGTACACATACCACCTACATAGTTACTTACCCCTTTCTTGTCCTTCGACAGCATAATTCAGTAAAGTAGAGCCAAAAGCAAAACCTGCAAAAGAACATTGTTCAGAGTCAGAGAGTAACACAACAAAACTTGAACACGCAATACCCTCAGCTTAACAGATGGGTGAAAGGGATTGCATAGGCTTATCAATTTTTTTGAATATACATGCAAGAGATGCTTGAAGGTAATGCTGAGAAATCTGAAAGTCACTTTAAAATAAAATAAGCTTGTAGAAGGCAGAAGAAAAAAAAAAAAAAAAAAACTTAGCCATTCTGTTTTGCAGCTGGAATACCCAATACTACCAGGTATGGAGGAGCATACGAGTTGCTTCACTAAAATGTGCTGTTTGCGGATTGGCATAGCAATATCTCATATGGGCGGAATCCACGCATATGAAAAAGGATGCGTGTTTTCTTGCCGCACAGTTTTCCACACGGAAGCCGCAAATGCCATATGTAAATGGAGCCTTAAAAAGGAGAACTGTGAAGCAAGTGAAAATCACTCATCCTCATAGTTCGAGCCGATGTGTGACAATGAAACTGTCACACCGTCAGCCGCTGTAGCTGCGCTTAGGGTCACGGGAGGACGGTAGTATATGTCCTCCTGTGACCTTTGAGAACAATGGGGAAAAGTACATAGCCCATAGCTTGTGAACAAGGTTTACAAACACTGTTTATAAGCTGGATGTTCACGGCTGTGTAAGAGCAAATCCCTGTTGTCAAAATGACAGCCAGAAAATGCAAGTAAAAAAAAAACAGTGAGGGGCCAAGAGGGACAGAGCATGTTACCTAGGCCCAGTGTACTTCATTGAAGTCTTTAAGCATACATAGCACTGTTAAGATCCCCAACTCAATAAAGTTAATTAGTAGGTTTGGTTTACATATTTAGGATTAAAAAAATAAATACAAAAATAATTATATTTATTATTAATAATATCAAATACATAAAGCCAACATACATATCGAGGATTCATTTCCCTGCACATTGGGTGTCTTGCAAAAGTGTCTGAAAGCAGTACTGTATGTATAGTGTTCAGTAACCAGTCAGCTTCTCCCTTTGATTTCCTGACAGAGCAACATGAAAGCGAGAAGCTGACACCTCCAAGGCACTTGAGGCAATAGGAAGTGAGCATGACTAGGATTATACAAAAAAGAAACTAAATATTTAGTCTTGCATTATTAGAACTATGCAGGAATGCATGAGAAATTTTACATTTTCTGATCCTGACACTTCAACTGGTGTCCGGAGGTCAGAGGCCCCCTTGACAGTTGCTACCTCTTAATTACCTAAGGCTGGCCATACACTGCTCTATTTCTCTCCTTCAACCCGTGGGCTGAAAAAAAAAGGATCGGTGCCCAACCCCCCCACCGTTGTCCCGCTGGTCCAAGGCTCCGCTGTGCCCGGTGTGAGTCCGGGATCAGCATGGTGCCTCTGTCACAGGGGATCAGAGGGAGATCGCTACACGAGCTCCCTCCGGTCCCCTCTCTACGCTGCAAGAATGCGGAAGTGTTGTATTTTACATCACTTCCGCATTCTTGTGTCAGTCTCCAGCTTCAGAAGCTGGAAAGAAGCTGATGGAGCAGATCTGTGCTTCATCAGCTTCTTTTGGGGGGCCCTAAGTGACATTAGGGGTCTTGGAGACCCCTGATGTCTCCATAAAGAGGACCTGTCACATATTTTGCTATCACATAGGGGGGGTCTTATTAGCCCCCGTATGTGATAGCAATAAAGTTTAGCGGAAAAAAAAAATTAAACTTCCCCCCCAAAAAAAATTTAAGTTACACATGAAAAAAAGAATTAAAAAAAACAAAATTTTTTTTAAAGTCGCTACCCATACAAACATGCGTCGGGGGCGCGTACGTGAAAAAATGATTGCGCCCATTACGCCACACATGTTACATATCGCCGCGAATGTCACAGTGAGAGCAATATTTCTATGGCCATCAATCACCGATAACGCTAAACTGATGAGCGGTAAAAGCTTTTAAAAGCGTCGCCTATGGCCAATTTTGGGTATGGTAGTTTTCTGCGATTTCACGGGTGCACGCAATTTTAAAGCTTGACATGTTTGGTGTCTATTTACCCGACGTAACCCCGCCTTTTATATTTGACCAAAAAAACTGGGTAATAATAAATGTTTCCTAACATAATGTAAAAAAAACGTGTTTTTTTTCAAAATTTTCTGTAATTTTTCCTAATTATAGTAAAAAATAAAACCCGCAGTGGTGATTAAATACCTCCAAAAAGAAAAAGAAAGCTCCATCTGTCCCCCCAAAAAAATGGTATAAAATTAATTTCAGTACAGCGTTGCATGACGGAATAAATGTCAGTCAAAGTACCGCAGCGCAAAGCACTGAAAAATGGCCTGGATGGGAAGGGGGTCTAAACACCTGGTCTTCAAGCAGTTAATAGTGTGTGTGTTCACTTTTTTTGAATTGCAAAGATGACATCACTAATTCTTCTTATGAATCAGCTAAATGGTGAGGTTGTTTGGTAACTTATTTGCAGTATTTTTTATTGGAAACAGATAGGCGTTTCTTACTTGCATTCCAGAGTGTAGCTTTAAGGTTATCAATTGCACGCTGGATTAAAGAACCGGCACCAAATCGCATGTAAAAAGAGCTTTTAATAAGCTGCAAAAAAGGGGTGAACTTGATGGATCTGCTTACCACCAACCATGAAACCGATCAATTCCACTAAAAATGTTAAAATGGATATTTCCTAGAACACAATAATAGCCTCTTATTTCCCAACCTCTTATTTCCCAACTCTGATTTAGTTAAATGTAAGTGTTAACTAGTGGCATGCATCCTGTTTCTACAATATTAAAAGCAGAACTGGAAAATTCACATCTCACAGCAGCATTCAGCTAAACAGAGCCGGAGAAATCCGGATATCTGCACAGCATTTCTGTATTGAATCCTCAGTGGAGAGAACATTCTGGGGTACGTCGTATATTTATACAGAGTACAACAATAACTAAATATCCACCTTATGACGTGAAGATCCAGAGCTAATGAAGTATACATACCCGCAGTCAACCCGCCTGTTCTTCAGCTGGAGAGGCCACAACTTCACAATGAACCAATACAAATAATCTCACTTCCTTATACTGGAGGAAATAAAAATTACAATATTGTACAACAACTGTGAAATCCCCATGGGCGTGCCACAAGGTTAGTAGGTAGGTGAAAAGGAACAAACAAGAATGCACAATGAAAGGTGTTTGCTTTGCATCATGTATCCAGCTTCGGCAAAGAACAGAAAATGTCTTAAAGCTGAACTCCAAGCAGATACTGTTTTTGGTACTGTCCTAGCACATACCTGGTCATCCTGCCAAATCTTCCTGTGGCCTTCTGACCAATGACACAGGAAGCCACACCAAACATGGAAGCAAATCTATGCTGATGTGGTCAGTTTGTGTCCCTGTGCTTGGTGATCAAAGCTACAAGATGCCATGCTGACATGGCATGTATGTAGTCCCACAGTCAGCGTTATGTGCCAGGTCCCCCCCCCCCCCCATTCATC